TAACTTATCCCTAGTATCTTTTTATTGCAAGTTTCTTGAAGTTTAAAATAAAACAGAGTCGTACAATTGACGTGCACAACCACTTTCCCTGGACAGGGGTGACGAGTGAAAATGAAAGCAGAAATAAGGCGTTCACCTGAACAAATGTCAGAAAAGGTTTGGAGAGTCTCTAATGAAATAGAAAAACACTTTGCAAAAATGTCGACGATGGCTGAAAGCAAACACCTATGAATTAGACCACTACCACTATGCCACGGCATTTGACACCAAGGCGACGAGTTCGCATATCCAAATAATACTGCTGTCAAGCAAATTTCACCATTTGGCAGTTTCAATCTCCATTTTCGTGAATATCATTCAAAACTCTATCGATTTATCTGGGTCTCCATTCAAAGTCGCCCAGTAAGTAGACTACCCCTCCTTGGTTAGTGCTACTTTTTTTGAGAATGACGCGGAGAACATGTAATTGGTGTAACAATTCCATTGGCAGGACGTTAGAGCTCGTATAAAAGGTCCCCAAACGACTTCCTCAAATCGCCACGTGCGAATCAGTCTGGGAACGGCATCAGGTTTTACATCTCCTTCATCCGGAAGCCTCGGTCAGTCCTAGAAAAACAAACTGCTTGGCAAAGTTCGGTTGTGCCGATTCTCTTTTATCGCCTCATCTTTGCCCTTCACACAGAATGTCCTATAGTTACGTCTGTACTTCACGTCTAGCCTTGAACTGTTCATTCTTTCCAAATACTTTCCTGATTCATAAACTATGCGGATATCATTTACTATATCGAAAACCTATGTAAGTATTGCTGTAATTCCATCCCGTAATTAGACAATCATAAGTAAAAGAATACTAGTTAAGCAGCAACAACATCGAGGATACAGTACTTTGCTGAGCAATTGATGAAAAGGATCCTTCTGCCGGATCTAGGGAAGGTACCGTTTCAGAGGTGATGGTGAGGGATCATTCGAAGTGTTAAGTATCGTAATCCAGAGTATATCGGCACTTTTATCAGTGCTCTGGGACAATTGGCGTCTTCTCGGGCAAGGCATTAGTGATAGTGCAGTTGCTGTAAAAGAAAAATTAAATGGTTTATTGGAAATAGCATAAAATTAGAGGCAACCGTTCCCAAAATAAAGCACATGACCAGAATTAAATGGAAAAGACCAGAAAAATCCGAAACAAAAGA